ACACACACACAGCCTCTTCCCAATATGCGTTTTTGCAATTTACATATATGCAAGAACGCATAATAAATGAAAGACAGGCACTTAAACATGTTTGTGCTGTACTGCCAGTGTTCGCGGTGGGTAAATGAGAAAAACATATGGTTTGTACGCGTTTTTTGCACCTATGCAATGCAAAAACGCATCATTTGGAGAGATTATTCACATATACACGTATATACAAATGTTATGTATATATAATATATATAAACACATAATATGCGCATCCACATATTTCGGTCCCGGATCTACGAAAGCGACAAAGCCGAAATTTTGGCAACTTAGTCCACCAAAACGGACAGGTCCCCAGATGTAAAAAGAACGCCCACTTCTTATTTTTCAATTAAGAAAGACATTTTAGCGGGAAAATACTTTCGGGAGAATATTCTCTGTACGCATGTATATTACGCACGCACACAGGGAATAGTTTCAAAGTGCAACCCAAAGAATTTAAAAACAGCCTTCGTGTACGTCTACGCCTCATGTATTTTGTCTTTTTATGATAATTTTTTGACAGCTTCACCGGGTACTAATACAGCCTCATCGAGGACTAACAAGTCGCACTAATAGTAATATGATTTCAATTCGCGAGGTCAAATCCTTGACGATCCATGAACCAGGATCTACATGGACGTGGAAGTAGACTGCGTGTTTCTGCATCTGTATATGGCCAGAGACGATGCTTCCAAACATAAGTTCCCTTACCTTTCATAACGCTAAAACTTATTCCTTATGACAGACAAGAAACAAATACACAAACAAACAAATACACACAGGCACCACCCAGCCAAAGTCTGCTTTCACGACGGTTTGGGCTGCAATGCATAAAACGAAGAATCGCGGTTTGACGAAAGCTACTCTCTCAGATCTGCTGGCACAAAGCAGCACTTGTAACAAAGGATGAACAAAATGGAAAACAACGGATGCAGTAAGGAAAGTATAGCAAAAACAACGAATATAGAAAATATAGCAAAAAGGAAAATATAATATAACAACTCGCTGGAAACTCTAGGCCGGGACGCACAAGGCTGCCGGTGCGATCATGCGCTTTTGCACTATACTTGAAGCAGTCAAGTCGTTAATGGTTCTTGCTTCACATTTGCCTTGTGTGCTTACTGGCGTAAATCATTGCAAATTTTGCATAAAGGAAACGAAGAATTTCCGTTTAGCGGCCGCTTTTTGAAAATGACCAGCCTGCTCAGTGAGCAAATTTGCCGACAGAACTTCTGCGTACCTGCACGTGAGGGCCATGCACACCTGGGGATCGGATTTCAAACATTTGTGTTGTGCCTGGATGGGAGACATCTCCTTAAAATCTCAGTACTGTTCTGGTTCAAGTTAGCAGTCTCCCAACCAAATCTTCCACGTACTTTTACGCGAGGCTCAGATGTGTGTGAGCTGGTCCCGCGGTCCTGGGATGGCGCTTGTTCAAGGAACCCACGGGCAAAATCTCAGCGCCAAAGTTTGCTTGGTTGCCGAGCCGAAATACCCAGACAGACGCACACAAACGCACACATACACACAAACCATGGGTCATCAGAACGTGCTTTTTTGCATTTGCATATATGCAAAAATGCATAACCAGGAGTAACACTTGGGAGCGAGTGTTTCCTTTATTGCATTTTGAGATGTGGCTACGCTCCAATCATACAAGCATGAATAAAACATACGGCCCTGCTCTATTAGTACGCAATATGTGACAAATTAAACTCGCAAAATTTCTAGTTCGCAGCTTTTTATTTCCCTGTGATAAATCAGTTGGATTTTAGCCAATGAAACTATCGACTCTTCTACAGAAAAAAAAAGATAAAGTTGGCGCATTCTTTCTGCACAAGAACGACGCAAGTTCCACATTTTAATAAAGCTCTGAACTTATCTTGGATTTGCTTCGTAGAATTGCCTACTTCCAGCAAATTCTTTTAATAGCACTAGTTTTATGAGATACCAGAAAGAGGGCATTTTCTTTCCATGTTCTGAATACGCGCTTGCCTGGACAGTGCTTTACTGCGAATTTCTTACTTACTGAAAGCCAGTTTGGTAAGCCTGAATCTGCTTTGTAGTCCTCGAACAGATTCATGGAAAATACAAACTTGCATCATCGAGAGTAATGTGTTAGGCGCATTCAGTAGGCTGATCTGTGCGGCCATCATGGCCGGGCTCAGCAATGGGTTGAACGCAGCGACTGGTATACCCGATGGCTGCAGCTGATTTAAGCTGTTGGTTGTTCGAGCACTGAATGCACTCGGTATCGGCAGTATGTGATCGCTCTGAAATTATTTCATGGAGTATTTGGAAAAAATTCCTTAATCTGCTGCGCATCAGTAAAGCTACTTATAAAATTTCGAAAAGTACTTGAGCCTAAAAATAGCTTTTAAAATATTATGAAGCCCATTTGCATGGCTTTCGACACCGAGCCCTGCAAATTTACTACCATTAAAGTCGGCTCTTTTGGTTTTCTCGTAATACAATGAATTCTGCTCCTGCAATATAACTGCTGGGAACTGGCCATATTTCTTTGAAAATTTGATTTTTTAACGAGAGGTTGCATATGCTTAAAAATCAACTGTGAAACCTTTTGATAGGATCTCAAAACACCAGTGGAAGCAACTGTGTCGGTCGGTGACGCTCCGGAATTTCGAGTCGGTGTTGAAGTTGTTGGTGATGGCAGTGACACTGCACTCGATGAACTTACTGCCGGTATTCCACCAAGAGTCTGAAACAGTTACTTCTCTTTTCCCTGGCTACCAAGGCTGCAAAGCACTGCTTTAGTTTCGAAGTTTAAGGAACGCACTACACTTATTCACTTTTTCGGAAGAAAATTCGCTAAGTATGCACAGACTGTTAAACAACAGAAAAAAGAAATCTAAAAAAAAAAAAACTGAACCCTTCAGTTCCTAAAAAATGTAGGATTTGTAGCTTCAAGACCTAAATCAAGCTGATCGAAACAGAACTTATATTTTTTATGCGTTTTTGCTTATATGCAAATGCAGTGATTGGCCAATGCACGAGCTGCCCGTGCGAAGACGCGCTTTTATGCGTTTTTGCATATATGCAAATGCGAAAACGCATATTGTGACGGCCTCGGTGTGCGTGTGTGTGTATGTATGTATGTGTGTGTGTCTGTCCGGGTATTTCAACTCGGCACCCAAGCAAGCACCGGCGCCAAAATTTTACGAGAGGGTTCCCCGGCCAAGTGCCACCCCAGGACCCCGGTACCAATCTTCACGCACATCTAGGCCCCGTGTACGAGCGCCTCAAAGTTTTGGCGGGAAAATCGCTAACTTTGAACCGGAAGAGCCGGAAAGCTGAAATTTTTGGATTATGTTTCCCGTCCATATAGAACTCAAAGATTTTAAATTCAGTCCCTAGGTGTGCGAGTTTTCCGCGTTCGGCCCCGTGAGGGTTCCTGGCGCGAAAATCGCTAGCTCAGGAACCAAGAAAGCTGGGAGACTGAAACTTTCAGCAAATGTTCACAGTTCATCTACAACTTGAATTTATCAGATTCGGGCCCCCGTC